ATATACGTATAATATGGTTATTAAATATTTATATATGTGTAGTGTGTGCACACTGCACAGTATACTCTCCAGTCTTCATCGTGACGTTTTAATATGTTGTACTTAATACTATAGTCAATAATATATTAACATCATCGTAGTTATAATATATATTATACGTATTTCTGATATGTCATATGTACATATAATTAATGATAATAAACGTACTGCAGGGTCATCTTGCAGCTATATTATAATATACAAAACATTAAACTTGGGGATTTTTATATAATGTTTTATGAAATTCTCACCTCATATTATAGTCTTATTCTATATAGTATTGTATTCTGTTATTAATTTATATGGACATTAACTATTAACAGTTATTCAATTACCTATCCATGAAAATTTCAGATGAATAATGAATCAATTAATGTATATTATAATTATATTTTAAAGGCTGGTAATTTGCAAGTCTATTGTTGCGGACGTTCGACAGTGGTTCATTGTAGGCACTTATATATGTTAGGAGATGATAGGTATAAGTTTTTTTTGTTTATTCTTTGCGTAATACAACGTTTAAAAAACGAGTGGTTCGAGAATTTTTTTGACATGGATGATGGTAATTATAATAATATAAAGAACATTATACTGCAGAATCATAATAGGTACTATATTATATATCTATAAGGATATTATCGCACACATTTTATGGATAATGCGTCTAAAATCTAAATGATAAATACATTATGTGTCCAAAAAACGTCTAATGTAAATGGGTAAAAGTTTAATATTATCGATTGGGGGGAGGGGGTGATCAAACTTATACTTTTGACCCACCAGCTATATTTGAGGAGTCTCTTGCTCTCTCTCTGCCCCCCCCCCAACCCCTGTACTCCATCACCACTGAGCATACCTATACCCATACCTATTAAACTATTATAAAACTATATAATATAATATGTATTAATTATATTATTGAAGTTTATTAAGTTGTTTACAGGTAATCTATAATATAATACGTATTGCATTTGAAATGTATAGCCGAGTGAAGTTTAAAATGTGGGATTGGGTATAGCCGGTATAGGTATAGGTTCTTAGCCAAAGTTTCGGTTCACCTTCCACTAATCCAAGCTCACCCAAATTTTAAACGATTGGGCATTTGTTAGATATCCACCATCCGATAAAATTAATCGGAGAAGTTTAGAAAAGTGTACCTAGTTCTGCTCCTGATTATGAAATCGAAAAAAAATGAAAAACCCAAAAACCACTGTGATAAAAAGTAGATTTATATTTGAAAAACACGGTGATTTGGCATACCATTAAATGAACCACCGGGTATAATAATATTATAAGAATTACATTACCACGAGCGAGCATAATAATATAAAGGTAATGGGTTTATAATAATATTTTTTGTATACTGCACAGTATCGACTATATAATAATGAATACTGAATTCGCGGACCAAGGTTTTTAATTATACCGTAATTATAAAATATGTATAAAGCTGTTATGACGGAGCTCGCGACGGGGCAGTGGTGGGTCCAGCGAGCGGCGGTGGCGGCCGTACAGTAAGTACGGTCGTAGTAGCGGCAGCGGGCATCAGCCGCCGTACGCTGTCGCCGAACGGGACGCGCGCGCGCCGCCGCCGGCCAATTAGCGCCGCCAGAGGTCGGTCCCTGCGTGTCGGCGGCGGGTGGAAAAATCAATTGCGGTCGCATGCCAGGAGCACGAAAGAGTGTGAGAGAGAGAGAGGAGAAAGGCACCTACCGGGATAGCGACGGGGACGGACGGAGAAGGAAGAACGACAGAGAAACGGCAAAGAAAACGGCAAAATAACCGCTCGCTCGAGTGGTAGGTACCTAGTGTATAATACGCGCGCGTTCGCTTTGCTGCAGTTTTGTGTACGGCTCGGAGTCGGATCGGACTACGCGAGCAGGGTTACCGGGTCACCGTGTGACGATTAACATAATATAATAATATTATACAATAGTACTCCTTAAATTGTTGGACGCGATGTAATCAAGATACCTTAAATATCACTGCGCGATATGTAGCTTTTAGTCTCGGTGAGTAGAATATTGTACCATAGGTATTAATATTCCGGCTGTATTATAGAACGCGTGTGAGACTAGAATATTTGACATACGCCGTCCGGGCTCCACGACCGTTTTGTATTTCGAATTTTTGTTTTTACATAATATACGATTATAATATGATATTACACTTGACAACAATCAATATTGTATGTTATATTATTATATAGTACGCACGACCAATCGTGTCTTGACCGCACGCGTGATGAGAGCCGTCTGCTGTTCTCTCTTATCTCATCGTCCCGAAAGTTCTGCAACGATATGATTTCGAAAGCAAACGTACGACGTCTTCTTATTGTTCCCCCGACCAGTTTGAAGGTAAGACCTCACAAATATCATTTAAATATACACGTGGTTTGTAGAACACGTGACGATTTAAATAATATACATAGGCGTATAATGTTACCGTATGGCGTATAATTATCGTGTCTGTACCTATATAATCCATATCGTCTGAATTACAGCTATGCAAAGTCGGCTGTACTTATATTGAGACATTAAGTGGTCTGCAACTCGATACACGTTATTAATATTGTTGCCATATTATATAAAATAATAGGGATGCAGCCTGTGAATTTGCAAAAAATTAATTTTTTTTCCAGAGTTTTTAGTAGTAGGTTATAGGTACCCAAGTTTCGATCAAAATGTATCTTGGAACATAATTTTACAATTTAGCGTACTTGATGATACTTCAATAATAACAAAATATTTAAATTTATATTTTGCAGCTGTTCATACTAATTTGTTCACCTTAATGGTAATTTTTTAAGCAACATTTTATCATAGCATTTCAGTTAATCACAGTATTTTTTGAATTTTTTGTTCAGAAATTATATGATGTAAATATGTAAATATGTAATGAACACGTATTTTGATATAGGTATTACGTTTAATTTGAAATTTGTTCATTTTTCGTTAGGTAATGCAAAATTGAATAAATAATTTTTTGATATAATTTTTTGAGTCAATTTTGTTTGTCAAAATGTCACATTGTCAAATTTATAAAATGTTTAGTTACCTATATTAAGCGTTTTAATTACAAGTGGTTCAATATTTTTGACATATTTTAACAATAGAAAGACAACTTTTTAAGTGTGAAGTATAAAATATATTTTTTTACATTCTCATTGCATGTTTTGAAGTTTACAATGAATTATTTTTCATCGCCCCATATTTATGTATCTTTACAAACTATTGATTTAAATTTACCTATATTGTATTATAGTAGCCTATACGTTCAGTACTACTACGACAAAGTAAAGTATCAGAAAGACCTTGTTCTTAGACCTTAGTTGTAATATGTATTAAAGTTATCAATGTATTCCCTATATTTTAATAGATATTCTGATAGTCCGATTTCATTACACTCCTAGGTACCACATAATATTACTTACTGATTACTACATTTTTTAAAGTTTATCGTCTAGCGTTATTGCTAATAAACTGGTTAATTTTAAGTTGTAGTAAAATAACATAAATTCATGAAGTCACTTATACAATAAATTATAAGTATAGAATATGTAATTTTAAAATGTACCCCGAAATGTACTGTAATTATAGGTACCTATCTTTATTATTAATAAAAATATTGTAAATGAAAAAATTAAATAACTCTTAAGGATATTTCTGAATAACACGAGTATATATAATATGTACCTCAAATTATATATTTATTACTTGTAGGTAGGTACATCAATTTATACTAAACATAGTACCTAATAATCGACCTTAAATAAAACCTTTATACAGCCACTCAACCACATAGATACTAATAAGTTAAACATGGCTAAGCATGAATATTTCCTAACTAATAACGTGATCCTATCAAAAAACTGATAAACAAACCTAATGATTGAATAAAAAGTAATGCTCGCTGATATTTAAAATTGAGGTGAAATAAACAATTATGTATAGAAATTGAAATGGCTTTGAAGATAATCGATAAGTTCTAATCATTAAAATAAATAATAACTAATAAGTAGTATAGTTAAATATTATTATAAAGTCAAATCGTCGTAATAATCACAACAGCAGAGTTGTGCAGTACATCAATGACGATTTCACATCATTATATAATATATTTGCATACTCAAAATGATTTTGCATTTACCAAGTAAAGATTAGAAGACAAAAAAAAAAAAAAAAATAAGAAACAAAACCGCCTGTTTGTCCCAAGGGAAATTTAAAACCACTAACTAACACTACAACCACTAATATATCATCACGAGGGTGAATAATTAATTGTCAAATTTAATTGACCAACGTTACACAAATATTATTTTTAAAAGAACGCAGATAGGTAATTTAGGAATGGAGATAAAATGTTTTATGTAGGTACTACATATGCATATACATTTGGACAGTATCCAAATACAATTTTTAAGTGGTCGTGTAATAAATATTTGCTTATACCATTATACCTATTGTTATTACCTTAAGTTTCAAAACTTAAACTTAATAACAAATCCATACATAATTGCAATTTGAACTTATAATTATTAAAACATGAGATTTTTTAGTAATAGAATTTAATAAAAAAAAAATGGGTTTTTGGATTAGTTTTAAATATAACTAGTTTTTCATTATAAAAGGTTGGGGCAATATTATTCGTATTTTGACATATCGGACGGGCAAATTACGTAATCCATATTTTTATCGACTTGTTGAATACTGTTTAATGCACCAATTAATTAAACGGACCTATTGTCATTATCATCAAGCTGCAGATGCGTGGACCGTTCAGTGAATTGGGGTTTAAAATCGAATCAACTATACTGTCCTGTTCGATTGGGCATGATATTACAAAACGCTCGAACTGAATGAATAAATTACATCGCCCGAAACGTTCTCTTGGGCATAACCTAACAGCCTAACCTAACTTAACCTAAGTGACGGATTTATGATATTTTAGATACTCGAGCGATGAAGGTTGAAAACAGCGATGTGCCCACAATATTCAACCCACGGAAGCCTAGACTTTCGCAAAGTAATGCCGTGCTGACGTCAGACCACAGGCCTTATGGTCCTTTCTCGCACGTGCTGTCCAGAAGTGAATCTCGTAAGTGTCTGGTTGTGCCGCGTTGATCTAACAACGGATAGATTTGATGGCCGAGGCGTGCAGGGCGTATACATAATTAATATGTGAAGGATTGGATTAATCTTCAGTGGAGCTTAACCTTATCATTAATTGACTTATTCGAGTGAAATTCAAAGAATAAAATTAATCGTGCACCTTCGATGTGTTAAATCGTTTTGAAGGGAGATGGCAAACACATTTTATAGAGTATAATAATAATATAACCCTCATCTCCAGTATTGAACATTTTCTGCACGCCTCGAGCAAAATACATCTCGTCTCCCGACATTTATCCTAATGTCGTGTGTGTGTGTGTGTGTGTGTGTGTGTATGTGTTTATGACTTAAATTCTCATCTCATTTGGTATCCTTCTTCTAGTGTGTCAGCAAGAAGATGTGGAACAAGTGGAACAGTGCCAGCGGAGGCAGTTGGGCGTGTTCAAGAGGCTGAAGAACAAATGCTGTTCGAAACATGCGAGGAAGGTTTGTATAGTCCTCGTATATAGATTATGCGCTATTTTTTAGTTTTTTTCAAGTCTAGGTAGCACAAAAAATTATAGGTAGCTGCAAGTACCTTAAAAAAAGTCCATTCCCAGACTCGTTGATTGAAAAAATCTTACCTGAAACATACCAATTTTCTCCATAAGTTCTTAATATATTGTATTGTGTATAATACGCGTGTACCTATATGTCCACAGGTATACTACGGTTTGTGCGTCACTTTTTTCGTCACCGCGTCTTGGGTTGGTGCCACTCACGCTATCAAGTACCTGTATATGTATCATCCGACCAAATATCCGGTGCTCACTGGCAGCGGGTTCAACTTTTCATCCATTCACCAACAAACGGTATATATTATGTATAAAAAAAAAAATTATAAAAATATTATCGATTTCACGAAATTGGCCGAACATGTGCTTCGCACACACGCATATTATATACATAACTATGTATAGGTATAAGCGCAGAAGAGGTGTTTATGAGTCAGATTATGCTTGGACTGTATTGTTTGTGTGCGAGGTCGGAATTATTGCTCGCTGACGGTAGAAGAATAAAACTCCAAAATTACCATTTTACACGCCATTATATTATATATTATAATGTATTTTAAACTGGCGTATTACACGAGCGGTCGAAAACGAGACTTTATAATATTGTTTAGCAGCGGCGTGCGTGCGCTGTTCAACACACTTTATCTGCAAGTTTATCATTATTCATTAACATATATTGTATAGGTAGGTACATATATTTTTTTATACAAATGATTAATACGGAATTTATACAATTCTTTTTCTGAAACGAAATGTTCAAAACATATAGCTATATAGGTATTATTATACTTTCGGTTATTTTTATATAAATAGACACCATTAAAAAAAACCCTTTGTGGAAATCTCATCTCTTTTTATTCGATAATACCTATTATTATGTTATTAATGATTAATTGTCCTTTCTGCCAGAGAATTTTAAATGAAAGAGAATAAGGATTAAATGTATAAAATATTATGTATATTAATTCTAAGTCAAAAAAAATCTGGAGCCCCTCCCCTCAAAGCGGTTTAATACCATAAAACTTTTAGTTAATCTTTGGATGGGTTGGATAAATGGTGTACAGTGTACCCGAGTTCAAGAACATAATATAAGCACGTATCCAGGATCAATTGTCGGGGGGGGGGGGAGCTGAACCATTAACACTCCCCCCCTGTATACGAGCCTGTAGTCTATAGTATAGGCTCTGTAGTCTGTACTATATATTATAACATCCTATTTATCCTATTATGAAAAAATGTATATATCGAGCTCACTACATTGTTACTGTTCATTATTAACCATATAAGTTATTAATCAGATTAATATTTGTGTGTATTGCATATTATAATAAATAATTTATTACAAAATTTGACTTTTGGTCATTATTAGGCCTTTCTAAACCGAATAAATTTGCGAGCTTTTTTTACATTTTTGAATGCACGCACTACTTTGCCAGTCTGGAGGTAATTCGAGTGTGCTCGAGAGATGTGGCTTGATGCAAAAGGGCGGTCTATTACCTAGATCAAAATTGACTAGTTACCTGCAAAATCATCGATGGTCTCATTTCGGTCACACGAATATACGCACACATACTAGAAATTCGCGGGCGGTACTCTTTTCGCCCAAAAATGACCCTTCGCTATTTGCCCACGTCTCTTTTTGCCCAACTATTTTAAAACTACTTTCCCTTTTCGCCCAAGAATATTTAATAGCACTTTCCGACCAAATTTTTATAATACACACTTTGGGAAACACTTACTTTAAATTATTTAATTATTTATAATATATTATAAATTTGTTATATTTAAATTATTTATTTGTGTTAATTAGTTTTATAAAGCCATTTAGCATTACCCAGAGAGTACCACGAGGAGGCGGCTTCTATTACTAGATATATGATAGACATAAATAATCAATGTCATCAAAATTTTGATGATTTATACTTTTGATAAAAATTTACTTATATTATATAAAAATTATATTAATGTACAAAAACACAATACATTTTTGAAGAGTAAGAGAAGTCACCTCCTCGTGGTACCCTCTGGGTGTAAATAGCTTTATAAAACTAATTAACACAAATAAATAAATTTAAATATGACAAATTTATTATTATGTTGGATACTAAGATAGTGAGATATAAATAATTTAAAGTAAGTGTTTCCCAAAGTGTGTATTATAAAAATTTGGTCGGAAAGTGCTATTAAATATTCTTGGGCGAAAAGGGAAAGTAGTTTTAAAATATTTGGGCAAAAAGAGACGTGGGCAAAAAGCGAAGGGTCATTTTTGGGCGAACGGGGTCTTGCCCAAATTCGCTGGGCTAAACCGGTGTGAAAAATAATGCACGGGGATGTTTGGACCATAATATAATGTAGGTACATGGTTCATAAACCTGGTGCTGGGTAATGTGGGATAATTTTAAACCGGTCTAGTTTAGCGAATTTCTAGATACACGAGTCAATGCCATTACACATTTATTAGAATAATCAATATAGTTTTTAATTATAAAATATATTATACGCATATCGATACAATGTCATGTCGTCTTACCCGGTGAACGCGTTACAGCTGATGACGTACAACGCGCCATTCTTCACCACGTGGTTTTGTACAAACTGGACAGTGCTGTTCTTCCCGCTGTACTTCTTCTGTCAGCTGGGCAGCCCCAACTACCAGACACCCACCGACATACTCGGAGAGAGCGTCCGAAATTTCCGGGACCGTGGGTTCACCGCCGCACACTTCCTGACGCGATGCTGTATGTTTTGCATGCTCTGGGTGTTCACCAACTACCTGTACATACATGCGCTCAGCATACTCGTGGCCACCGACGCCCTGGCCTTGTTCGCCATCAACGTGTGCTGCGTTTACCTGCTGTCTTGGGTCATACTCCACGACCAGTTCGTCGGCGTCCGGGTGAGTGTGTCGGGTCTCCTCTCTCGACCCCCCCCCCCTCACCACAACTATCATCGCAAACCGAAAGCCGTCAAGCCACGTGGGTCTGTGGTGATGGGCTTTGGCGGCGGTGGCTGGGGTGGGAGGCGATGGGAGATGTTCTAGCGGGGGTTGTGATAGGTACGACTGTTGCCGTTGGTCAAAGCGGTGTATTTGAGGGGGTGTAGAGACTAGAGCGTGGCAGGGACAACTGTAGAAAGATAAATAAAGAGGGGAAATAGTATAAGTTCCTATATTTCCACGGAGAGACGTGACGGGTAAAAACCACTCATGCGTGAATTCCTACACGGGATTAAAAATATGTCGAGTCTTCCACAAGGCAATACCTATATTACAAAACGTTTTATTAACAACGGGCCGTCCCAGACTATTGTCATTCTGCAGGAATGAACACGGTGACATATTATTATAATAATTTTATGAAAAGAGACAAAAGCAATTAAAAACACAAAAAAAACACATTTTAAACAGACGAGACGGCACACCAACTGTATACTCTATAGGTAGATAATCATTTAGTTATCGATCCTAATAAGTCTGATTCAAGTATGGAATATTTTTAGGTATAAAACTTTAATAATTACTTTAGTTATAATAATATCTATAATATGTATTTCATTTTTTTTTACTCTTACGAACTCACATATTCAACTCGTTTTTGTTCAGTATATTGGACTTACATTGTTTATTGTTTACCTATTGTGTCTCATATGGGAACTTAGACTTACCAAAATAAAAATTCATAAATTCTTTATTATACCTACGTTATACCTATAATATATACCTATATACATATATATTATGAGTATAGGTATGTCTGTTTGTTACCCAAGACGAATTCTCAAATACGCCACTGTGTTTAGGTTTGTGTATACCTATTATAAAAACATTATAATATAGACTGAGTGCTCAAATTGGCAGGGGAGCGCTGGGGGACAGAGCTCCCCTTAATTTATCATTTGGTGAAGTTGTACCAATTCATTATTCAATAAGATATTAAAATTCAATAACGGTAACGATAATTATTTTTAAGTCTCAGAGTTCCCTTTCATTTATTTTACCTATTCGAGCACTGAATACAGTATAATGTATTATATTTTATAAACTAAAAATTATACTATAAAAACATTATAATACTATATACGAAACAACGTATGACGTGTTTATAATATTATACAAAATAAATGTTTGGACTCCATAGCCTACACGTTTTAGATATTTTTATGGGGTGATAGAAGAACTCGGTTATCTACTCATAGGCAATAGCTCAACCAGTGGTGGAGGGTTTGGGGGTTGGAACCCGCTACTTAAGCAGAAAAATACTTAGTTGGGCTACTGCCAATTGGCATAAATCGGTAATTAAATCAATGATAGGTTTACGCATAATAATATAACAGAAAACTCACCATTTGGGATAAACGACTTCTAAATAAGTAATAACTTATTAGTCATTATCAACGAAACGTCCTTTTGGCCGCTATATTAATATTATTAAGTCCATGTCAAAATGCAAAACGATAAAAATATAATTTTGTCGATTTATTATAATTGATTGAACAATATTAATTGTATTATTATTATTTCAAGTAGCTATAATATGTATGTCGTAGATCATAATTGATACCATGTATATACTATATAGTGTATATTTTACACTATATATTCTATGTATAATATGAACATGTTGTTATACAATTTTTTTTAGTAATGCGTGCACTCATCCGCATGATTTAGATAAAATAGATTTAAAATGTTCATGGATTAGGGAAGGGGGAATTTCTCCCTGTCCTCCAACTTATTTGCACCTATGGACTTACCCTGTACGTACGCTCTAAATTGTACAGTGTATACCTAATAATATACGTCCATGTTTACAAATATATTCGTTTACCTACTATAATAAAATATATATATCATTATGCATGCGATCAACTGGCGATGACGTAGATATTATTATAGTGCTTTTATTGATTGGAAAGCTATATTATTATATGTAGTGTTTAAAAAGTTCGGGGATTTTAGTATATCGTATTAAGCGACGCACGTTGCGGGACCACGTCGATGTCGTGCGACCCCGTCCCGTTTTCAGCAATGATCGTTTGCAGATCGTGGCTGTCATCCTGTGCAGCACAGGGGTGGCTTTACTCGCCTACATGGACGCCGGAATTACGAACAAAAAGAAGACCATGACCGGGGTTCTGTTAGCGGCTTTAGCTGCTGCCGGGTCAGCTGTATATAAAGTGAGTACCTCTGGCACGTACGGTGTACACTGCTATTGAAATTAACGACATATTTGTACGTATGTCCAGTCGATATAGTTCTATACTTCTATACATGACACTATATAATAGACGTCTAGCGCAAAACTGGATTAAGTTTAATATGGAGCCATAATCATCACATTCACACTAAAAACCTGTACAGAACCCCTATCGTACCTTCTAAATATATAAGTAGTACCTACTGGTTCTAGGTCACTTTGTACGGTCAAGCATTAAAAGTGAGAAATGCGGACATTTTGTACGGTCAGGTAAAGAGGTACGTTGTAGAACGCGGACACTTTGTACTGTCGGGTAAAAAGGTACATTGCAGAACGCGGACACATCGTACGGTCGAGTGAAAATGTTCATTTTAATTTTTGGAACGCGGACACTTTGTATTGTTATATACATAAATTATATAATATTATTATAAAATATATAAGCTATATACCTAATATAAATTATTAAAATAGAAAATTTAAAATAAAAACTAAATTGTTATAAAATATTGTTTAATGTTTATTAATAATAATCAAAATGATCAAACAATCAATAATATGATTATAAATCTTAATTGTATTATATTATCAAAAGTTATGTTTAAGTAAATTAAAAATGTGTACAATATTATGTCAAAATGACAAATAAAATATAATATTGAAAAAATCTTTAAAAAAATACATATTGTATAGTATAATATTGAAATATTTCAAAATCACGAGTCATTATATTTCATATATTTACAATATATACCTTATGTATATAATAGTACAAAGTTCCCGAATTCTATAATCTAAAGTTTTACCGGACCGTACAAAGTGACCGTTTACCGTACCTACTAGGTACCTACCTATTTTACCTAATATAATTAGGTATATATTTATTTGAATTGTGTACTTAACTGTGTTGTGTCTTACACAAATAATTTTATATTCGAATTACAATAAATATATGAATTATAATTATACAGATATTTATATATACATGTATACATATATTTTATAAAGTTATAAGAAAAAATTAAATTCTTATAGGTACTTGTTAATATAACATTTAATAATAAACACGTTGCAGTTTTATAATATGATATGATTTATTAGGTAGGTGTATAAGTGATAAATACATTATATTTGTCTTCGTTAGCATTTAATACTATTTGATTCAATTTTATAAAAGGCAGCTTCCTGGACTTATATTATGAAACCAGAAATCGGTCAATATTGTAAAATACCTAATAACAAATTATTTATTCACAATTATTAAGAATGAAATAATCTAAACACCTTTAGGTAATTAGTGACAAAATAATGACAACACAATATTCGAAAAACTACGTAAAATAAATATTATTTTTATTTTAAAAATGTTGATCTATAAATATTTAATTTTAATTTTTTAGGCTGAATAAATATACATAGGGCAGCATGAAATTTACCTTTTTTCTTCAAGTTTAATCCGGCCCAGACAGATATCTATATTCTATACGGATACTAATTATATTATATGCATTATAGTATATATATATATTTGAAAATGTTATATTTAACTAAATGACAAACAATTATAGTATTATAGATACTAAAACGAAGGTTATAACTTATAACTATTTGTTGAATAAACGGTATTGTGAAGGAAACATTATTGTAGTTTAAGCAATATTATGTTGACTGATGAGCAAACCCTCAAAAATAATGTCTAGAAGATGAAAATATTTGAGAAACTAGAATCATTGAGTATATATTGTACAATATAATATACTCCATGCTAGAAGTTAGTATATTTGTGATTGAAATATTGTATTGTACATTACAGGTCATGTTCAAAAAAATGATCGGCGATGCTACTTACGGTCAAGTGTCGCTATTTTTTTCGCTCATAGGCCTTTTGAACGCCGCACTCCTCTGGCCAGTGTGTTTAGTTTTGTACTTTTCCGAAGTCGAAATACTTCATTGGGACCGTTTGCCTTGGATGATACTATTATCGGCCAGCACACTGTCATTGGGTACTAAACAAATATCTGTATCTGCGCCACACTGTCTTATTATATTATATACATTACCATTTTCAGTCGCGAACTTACTGGGAAATTTGAGCGTTGCGTTCACTTACGACATTTTCATTACGTTCGGACTAATCACCGCTGTTCCCGTGTCTGCAGGTAAATTTTTCCATTGGACTAAATCACGAAATACTTATACTGTGTTTGTACGAGTAATTACACCAAGTTTGACGTGTTTCGTGTTTATGAAACATAAATTGTGTATTAAAAATACATTTTATTATACACACGAAGTACAATATATAGTCGACGCGATTTACTTATAATATAGTTATATATTATATATTATATATATATATATTTACTATATTATAAGTTTATCGAAATTAATTTTAGTAAAAAAATATACAAGTACAACGACCCTTTTTTTGTTCACACGGCCTTTTGTACTTGGCCTATTTTACTGTTTCAGCCATTGACATAACCATACACGATGTACAGTTTTATGGTATGAAACTTGCTGGCATCATACTTATATCGATCGGTTTCTTATTGGTCATGTTTCCTAACAACTGGCCAGAATACATTTTTCGATTGCTCAGGTAAATTGCACATAAATATAAGATTCAATGCGAGCGGTTTAGGCATTTCTTACTACAGCGCTGGCAAACAAATCGGACGAAACACTCACCTATTATGTTTTTAACAATTATTTTCAGGAATATAATACTACTGAGTCATAGCGCTAGGTGAGTGTAGCGTGAACCAAAAAAAAAAGCATGAATTTTTTTGTGGAAATTGTTGAAAGAGTGGACCAATATATACATAATATAATATATAATAATATAATATTAATAATAATAATAATCTAATAATAAGATATGAATTGTAGCTTGGGGAAGGCCTTGTGATAGATGCTGCAGTAGTAGGATTAAAAAAAAAAAAAAGAAAAGAAGCGGTTGGCTAACAGCGTAAAAAATAGACGATATTACGTATATTATTATATGTATACTTGGCCGACCTTTATTTGATTATACGCCTAAATTATAATGCAGAGGTCGGCGCGTGTTTCGTGTGCGTATTTGCGTGTGCTTGTGTGATACGTTAATAACGACAACAATAATTTATTTATTTATTTATTATTATAACACAATAACAATAATAACTATAATGTAGTGAAATATATTATGTAGTAAAAACAATATACATCATAGATGTGTAATTACGATAATATTAATAATAATATATTTAATAACAACAATCATAATAATAATAATAGTAATAATAATATATTATCACGAGATCGCTTCTATCCTGTTACGCGCAACCTCTTCTTTTTGTATACCCCGTGTGGGCGTTATATATATATATTATATTATATACACTTTGCATGGCGATTTAGAACGGTAATTGCATGCGGTTTTTGGTGATGTAAAAAATAAATGTAAAAAAAATAAAATATATATACCAAAGATTGTTTAGATCACTGGTGCGAGTGCAAAAGATCGATTGAAAATGTAATTAGAACCCTTTCGATTGCGCCGCCGGGAGTGTAACGTGTATGTACGTTCTGTCTGTTGTTGTACCCGCAGGTGGAGCCGGAAGAACCGGGGACTGCCACCCAACCCACCCAAAGTGGAAATCGACTACAGGACCGGGTACATCCGGTCGCATTTGCGATCTCCGTCCGGTCGGGTCAGGTGACCGACTACTGCCATTGCCGCTCACGCACCGCGGACGTGGACATCGTTATTCGTCGTGATCGAGAAATCGACCGGCAAACGTTGTAATAATAATAATTATAATAATAATAATTGTCATAAAATTGTCGTCGTCGTATGTGACTGCAGCAACAGCATTGCGAATGTTCCGATTTCATTTCTTAGCCGTTTTACTTCTATACATATGTAAATAATATTCCTTAGAGGCCGTGCTTGAATTACTAGAGGAATGAGGGGGGGGACCGAACTGCCTCGAGAATTTTTGGAATCGGAGAAATCATAATTTATATTATTCTATAACCTAGACTCTTAGGTTCTCTGGACCTTGGAGGCGTGGCTATATGGCAACCAAAAAAGTCTACCATGAGATTACTTTTTCGTGAATTGGGTGCTTTATTGTACTAACTACTAACACCTGATTTGATTGTATAATCAATCACTAATAAGAGCATGTATAATATTATAAGATAGTGTGTTTGGTTATTATAATATTGTAACTAATGCCTGGCGTTTAAGAAGGTACCTATAATTTTTCTTGGAACTCTCAAATTCAGACTTGACACTCGACAACAAGATGCGGCCCCCTAAAATTTTATTATTTTTCCAATTTAAGCACACCTTAGAGGCATATAACGTTAACACATATCCGAGCATAATATTACTAGCCTGCTAGTAATATTATAAATTACGATATTACATGTTGTTCGTTGACATATTTGTAAAATACGTTCGTGTTTCGAGTATACTGTATAATATGTAATATATTATTATGTACAATTGTTATTATTATCATTATTATTAGGTATGTAGATAATGTTCGTGAACCGAAAACAGATTTGAACATAAATTTACACATTTTTCTTGTTTCTTGTTTAATATTTTTAAAAAAAACGTAATCAACTCGCCTATTCGTATTATATAGGTACATATTATTGACATAAAATTACGTTAATCACTCGAATTGTAATTTGTAATGTATTTTAAAATGTATACTTATCCCTCGATGGCGCGAATTTATAACAGATTGCAGGAAACATCTTGTGGATTATTAAGACGACAATATATCCGTCCACGAGCAATGTGATATGTGTTTTTACTGCTAATAATAATACCTTGTCCTTCACAGTTCACTCCTATTATATATAATAAGTAATAACTCCACACAGCATTAAGGCTATAAAATAATAGTCCTATACTTACTGTCCTACTCCTGTACGAAACAACAAAATGAAATATGATATTATCCTACATTTCAGGCGATTAATTGTTGAAGGTTGTATCGAAAATGAAAACCACATGACGTATAATTTTATTGTATAAACAATATAAAACGATTGAATAATAAAAAAAAAAAACGACAAATGTATCATAACTTTTAGATTAGGTACTCGTTTAGTTATTTTGTATAGGTGTAGGTAGGTACTTATAATAGTAAGTGAATTGAGAAATTCTGTTCATCTAAATAAGAACTTATTTAGCTTAAAAAAGCTGGAAGTGCAGCCTACTGTTACTTGTATTATAAGTTATAATAGTTATAACTTAATAAGTATTAAAATAATCTGTAAACTATATCTATGATCAATAAGTAGACATAACGACTATCCAGCTCAAGACTGCAACAACTAAAAAATAAAAAAAATAAAAAATGAGTGCCATTTTCGTTCTTATTTTCAAAACAATAATTATAATTATTTAAGAACGCAATAGAAATTAGGTAAATTATTGACCACTAGAAGCTCTTAAATCAGCTTAGAATACCACACAACCACACGATGTAGAGAAAATATAGATTATAGAGAAGATCTTCTCTATATCGTGCATACAACTAAATTACGCATTGCATTTTTAAATTTATCTCCATCAAGTGCCACTAGTGGGTGGCTTCTTATCAAGTACTCATGTGTTATAGACTTTATAAAATATGCTTATGTACATCAACATTGTGTAAAATTAAAAAAAAAAAAAATATATCTCCTGAAAAAAGTACTTTTAAGTTGCCGCAAGTCTTGAACTGGATAGTCGAGTGATGTTTATAATAGATTTTACGTTTTGAGTCATCTTGATGAGTGATGTTTTCTCTTTATTCTTTAGTGAAAACAAACAGGTAAAAAAAATATTAACTGTTCGGACTCGTTCTCTGTAGAAGAACCACAATGTTAGTTTTCGATTGAACAATTTAAAACCATAGGTACCGATTGCGGACAATTATTATATACATTTGATGAGATAGTAAGGGATTATCCTTTATCATATCCAACTATCGAAGGTAAGCAATACGTGACAAGAAAGTGAGACACTATTATTTTCTCCCCACTAAATCCAAGTGGTAGTCTATAAGCAACGGTGGTTTTGTATAAAACTGTATTATATGTGCTTTTTTTGTAATATATTTGTTTAGTCGGTTTAATGTTAAAAATCTATGTATTTAAAAAATACACGTAATATTATTAGTACTGTAATTTTATTGAAATAATTATTTGTGAAATAAAGACGCTAACACATATTTTATAGTATACACAGACACACAGTACCTATTCAGTATTGGATAGGGAACCACCACGTTTTTCATGCCAGTGATTCATAATGTTGAGTGTGGACCATGTTCGCAGTTCTGTGTCATTGGTCTACATGAAAACGAGTTAAATTAAATTTGATTTAATTTGTAAGAAATCATAAGTAGATTCAATGTTTACATAATATATTTTATCAAAAGGAAGTGTATTACGCTTTAATTCAAAACTAATCTACATCTTACATTGTAGAAACGCCAGATTGGTAGTCATATAAATTATTTTAAACATCGTGTGCTGCAACATCAACTGGCCAGGGCCGGATTGGTTAGGAGAGCTACCGAGGAAATCTCGGTGGGCCGCTTAAAGTTTAGGCCGGTCGTGTGAGTGTGAGTGAAAATAAATTCATGTTTAAAATACGATTGGGCCACCTATTAGCACGTGATAATTATAGACGTAATTTTGGGCTTCTGACTTCTGAATATGTAAATAGGCCGCTTAGAAGTGAAAATCTCGATGGGCCGATACATACCAATCCGGCTCTGCATCTGGCGGAAGTATTCTGAAAGCGGTTCCGTGCACGCGAACAATATACAATAGATAATTGGAGAAAACAACGATGGCACTATGGCAGAACAAAGAACAACTTCGTCCGAACACGTGGTTGGCTCTCGGTGTATATAATTTTATATCAATATTACAAATCGCAGAGTATAATAACACTGAATATTTCCTCTACTCACCTTCTTCTCGGCAGTTTTTTTTCTCCTCATTATCAAATTTACTTATAGTATTTACTATTTAATAATATAGAATAAGATTGTAAATAAAAAAGTATTTATCGTGCGTTCAGTGTTGAGACAGTATTTTCAATCACTTTTCTACTTATAGAACAAATATTTTTGAAAATTTTTTTTGATAAAATTGTTATTTAACAGGCCCGTAAACTATCTAGCTTAGTTTTGAAGTTCGCTCGGAAATCCGTATACCATAAAATTATCTAAAAGAAAAATTTGTATTAAAATAGACATCAACAGGTATGTAGCCAACACCTAAGTTAAAAAAACAATAACATTTTCCAAATTTTTTTCTATAAATGTATTTACCGCTATTTAAATAAATAGTATAGTTTGAGGTGTCAAAATAAGCTCATTCCTTTTAAAAATCTAAGTAACAAACATTTTATTTTAAAAACTGTTTTCAATCCCTTTCCTATTTAGAACAAATATTTTTTGGCAAAGTTGTTACTCTACGGTGTTCATCGGTTAACCAATGTGTATTCTTAGCAAGTAGTAACGCTCAACATTTTTCGGTAATTAAAACAAATGCACATCGCGATCGCTCGTAATAAAATATAATGTATAAATATTATAATTTAACACCTCTAATCGTTAAATCGTTAATATGACGAGCATACATAATATAAGGTGTAACAGTATACACCATACACCATAGGTATAATATATATATATAAGTAAAAAATACGGTTTTAAAATAGTAATACAATAAAATATATAATATACATATGTAATTTATATATTATATTACATTCATATTATTTCGATCATCAATAATTATTATCTTATTGTTTAAGGTCTACCGCCAGTAACTTAAGTCATAATGATATAATAATATATAATGAAAAAACTAATAAAAAATACAATATTATAATCAGACCACGCAGTGATTTTTAAACGGATGAACCTTGTCGCCACGATATGTCTAGGACCACTTAATTTTGACGCCCCTGAGATTTCGAGAAGCGATGGCGGCTGGTATACAATATTGAACGGTAGGTACAACACATTATGATATATTATAATATTTAAGTGGCGAGCAGATTTTAAACAATATTGGGCACCATAAAATATGTTAAAATCATTTACACTGCATGTATGATGGCGTCACAAATACCCGTAGCCAGTGACGGATCTAGTGGCGGCAGTGGGTCGCCGGAGCTGTGGCGGCGGTGACGACTGGCCCCTTCCGCAGTGGCGACGCCGGAACAGCAACGTGGCCACGTCCTGGTCGTCGTCGTCAGCGCCACCGCCTCCACTGACGACACTGCCGAAGCCTCCGACGCTGCCACCCCTGTGGCCTCGGCCGCGACGGCGTCGGTCCCCGACCGGTCTCGGGAACACGTCCGACTGGGTCTCCCAGCACGGCGCCCGGGCCGCGTCCGGCGGCGGCACGATTCCCAGCGCAGGCAGCTGCCCGTACGGTATGTACCCCTCTTCGGCGTGAGGCGTCTGCACGTACAGCCACTGCTTCGTTCTGAACACCGCGTTCACCACCATGCCGAGTGGTAGCGCCACCTCCGTCTGGTAGTGGTCGTCGAGCTGCGTCTGGTACAGCAGACATCCCGTGCACAGCACCCATCGGTATGTTTTGCCCGCCGACCGATCGACGACTGTGTGAAGACGTCGTAAAAATTATTAAAATGACACAGTGGCGGGGCGAAATTGTGGACGCT